TAGAGACAGGCTCTCGCTCTTGCTCAGGCTGGTCTCAAACTCCTGAGCTCAAGTGATCTTCCTGCCTCAGCCTCCAAGAGTGCTAGGATTGCATGCTTGAGCCACTGCGCCTGGGCCCTAGAGAGTTGGTCTTCAACTGATTGGGTGAGGCCCACTCACGCTGTGGAGGGCAATCTGCTTTACTCAACTGATTAATATGTTAATCTCATCTAAAAGTACCCTTTTAGAAACACTCAGAATGATGCTTGACCAAATATCTGGGCTCCCTGTGGCCCAGTCAAGTGGATACGTAAAATTAACCATCACAGCTGCTTTCTGATTCTACAACAAGGCGTGCTTATACTTGAAAATTTCTTTTCTTCTGTTTCATTTTTAAATGAATTTGCTTACTTTATATGGGTAATAATACATGCAAATGGTATAAGATTCTGAAGGTACAACAGAATTTATGGTTAAGACTCTCTCTTTTAATGAGAGATTATATTTATTGACCACTTACTATGAGCCAGCCAGCATTATAAGCTTTTACTTTGATCATCTCTCATAATCCTGGTAACTGCCTTGGCGATAGGTTCTCTGAGGCTTAGAGCAGGCAATTCACACAGCTGGAACGTGGTAGCTGAGGCTCTGACTTGGTTGACGTTTCAAAAAGATCCCTCTGGCTGCCACACGGAGCCGGGGTGGATGGGAGGTGACCAGGGAAGAGGCCAGGTGGTTCAGGGTGGAGAGGGCGGTGGCTCAGTCTCTGAGTGTTACCAGTGGATGGATTTGGACAGTAATTGGGTGTTGAGGAGTCAGTTATAGGTAAAAGACTCGTTGTAACTTTTTATCCTAAACAATCTAGGGTGAGAACCTGGGTATTGGGGAGCCTGCAGTGACGGGGGACCCTGGCCTGTCATGTGGCTAGGTGCTATCATTTAAATATTTGTCCCCTCCAAAACTCATGTTGAAATTTATCCCTGCTGTGGCAGGATTGAGAGGTGGGGCCTTTAAGAGGTGATTGGGTCATGCGGGCTCTGCCCTCGTGCATGGGTTAATTCATTCATGATTAATGGGTTAATGGGTCATCATGGGAGTGGGACCGGTGACTTTGTAAGAAAAGGAAGAGACACCTGAGCTAGCACAGCCCCCTCACCATGCGATGCCCAGCACCACCTCGCGACTCTACAGAGAGTCCCCACCAGTAAGAAGGCTGTCCCCAGATGCAGCCCCTTGTCCTTGGACTTCTCAGCCTCCATAACCATAAGAAATAAATTCACTTTCTTTATAAATTGCCCAGTTTCAGGTATTCTGTTATAAACAACAGAAAATGGTCTAAAGCACCGGGGTAGGATCTGAGTCTGCGTCACTAGCAGAGGAGACTCAGGCAACCCAGGTCCCCGGAGCTGGGATCTGTGCGTGCACAAGCCACACAGTGCTAAGACCCCTGTCATAGGTCTCTGATCTGTGTCCAGCTTCAGTCAGGAGGGACCTGGGGACCGTGGCCCAACACGGCCTGCATCCCTCCACGAGGAGCCAGGATCCAGTGAGGCAGTTAGCGCCAGACTGGTTCCTGGGAACTTCTTGGTGAGACCCAGAGCCTGGAAAGAGGCTTGCCTGGGGCCCGAGGACATAGAGGTGGGAGGCAACCGCTGCCGGCACGTCAGGGTCCCTGCAGCTGATAGCGTCACAGAGGTGTCACACTGGGAAGTAGATAATGGAGAAAAGATCTGTAGGAGTCAAGAGCATGATATAAGAGCAAGAGCAAGATGTTAAGATGTCAGAAAAATCTGGCGAATTTTGGCTCTATCGGCTCTGGTCGGATGGGAGCTGGGGAGGAAAGAGAGGGGAGAAGGAGCCGTGGGACCAGTGGCAGCCTGGGTCAGCTCTCGGAACTCCCACAGCAGGTGGACACGGGGTAGCAATCCCGAGTGACGTTGTTTCTTATACACCTCCTGCGGTGGCCCCACTGACTGCTGCTCGAGTTGACAAACCTCCAGCCTTTACTGCTGGTGCTGTCTTCACTCTGTGTGAGGAAATTAAAATGGCTTCTCAGAAGTTCCTCCAAAAGAAGTTGCTAAACAATGAAACCCAGGGTAGTATGCCGCTGCACCAAACCTCCCAGAGCCCCCAGTAGGGTGGTGGCGGCACAGTGCCGGTCGTGTACCTTTCCAGCCACCCTACTGAGCTAACTGGGACTCCCCTCTTAAACGCATGTGCCACAGTCACTATTTTTTCTTTATCCAAGTAATAAAATTAAGAGCCAACACTTACAAAGCATGGAACTAGCTCCTAGGCTGGGTATAGCACCACACATTTAATCTTGCATTTGATCATCCAAACAGCCCTGTGCAGTAGTACTGCTATTATCAATGTCATTGTGCCAAGGAAACTGAGGCACAGAGAGGTTAAGGAATCTGTCCAAGGTCACACAGCCCGTAATTGGTGAAGCCAGTATCTGAGAACTTGGGCTGCAGAATCTCTCCTTTTTTCTTCCATTATTCATCTGGAAGCAACAGAATCTCTACTCTTAACTACTCACTGTTCAGCCCTTCATGTGCCAGCTAAACTATTATTTTCTTAATACCTACCCACAGCCCAGTCCTAAGCAATAACATGCCTAAAAATAATAGATTTGAGTCACTTGTTATATTTTTTCTAATGCTCATTAATATAAATATGTTAGTATTTTTAAAAAGTTAACCATGTATCAACTAAAATCATCTGGTACACTGTATTAGGCCACAATCTGAGTGGCCTAAACAACAGAAATGTATCGTCTCACAGTTCTCCAGACTAGAAGTCCAAGATCAAGGTGTTGGCAGGGCCGTCCTCTGAAGGCACTGGGGAAGCATCTGTTCCAGACCTCTCTCCTAGCCTCTGGTAGTTCCTTGGCTTGTGGCAGCATAACTCCAATCTGTACATGATATTCTCCCTGCGTGCATATCTGTCCCTGTGCCCAAATCTGCCATTTTTATAAAGACAGATTAAGGCCCACCCTAATGACCTCATCTTAACTTAATCATCTACAAAGACCCTATTTCCAAATAAGGTCACATTCACGGGTATTAGGGGGCTAAGACTTCAACATCTTTGTAGGGGACACAATTTAACCCAGAACACATACCTTCATGGACAGTATTTTGAGAAATAGGGCTAATTAATTAATCAATAATCTGGCCTTCTCCAAAGAGTTCTGATATGGTCTAACAAATGACGCACAGTGTATAGTGCAAGACTGTAACAAACGAGAGGAAATGAGGGTGAAGAGAAAACAAGTGTAGGAAAAGAAGATGAAACCAGGAGGTGAACAAATTAATGCTTAATGTAGTCACAGTTGTGACTGTGAGGTTCCTGGCCACCAAGGCAAAGAAGCATGCATTCATATACAAATACGTGTCACTGGGTCCATCGGATAAAAATCAGATAACCAGCTGGTATTTGGTTCTTAGAGCAATTTGTTCCATCAATACTCCACTCTTTTTTTTTGAGCAGAGTCTCTCTCTGTCACCTGGGCTAGAGTGCCGTGGCATCCGCTCAGTTCACAGCAACCTCAAACTCCTGAGCTCAAGCGATCCTTCTGCCTCAGCCTTCCAAGTGGCTGGGACTATAAGCGTGCACCACCATGCCCGGCTAATTTTTTTCTATTTTTAGTAGAGACAGGGTCTCACTCTGGCTCAGTCTGGTCTCGAACTCCTGAGCTCAAGCGATCCTCCCACCTTGGCCTCCCAAAGAGCTAGGATTACAGGCGTGAGCTACTGCGCCCAGCCCCATCAATACTCTTAAAGAGGAAACTGTTTGAGGTACTAGAATCCTTATTTTAAACAGGTTTGGAGCCCAGCCTTTATCCAGTAAATATACTTGGTTCCTACGTAAGTCAGATTCGAAGGCGGAGGGCTGTGGCTAGGAGGAAAGCGGAAAACCGCAGCGCTGTCACTGTCCTCACACTGAAATGGGATTAGAGCAGAGCCACATCTCACCCAGCATTTAGGCTCTAAAGGCAGCAAAAAGTGCACGGAGGCCAAAGCTACCCTTAGAAATCCCTCTTACTGGTGATTAAGTGCAGCATATATGACTTAATATAGATGAATATGTAATATATACCTCATCTCTCAGCAAGCCCCAGAGAGTCAGCTGT